AAATCCTGCTGCTTCAATGTGGTTATGGGAGCACGGCGGAGGTACAGGCGGTTTGGGGTGATTAGGGGCACAGAGAGGGGAGGAAGAGTTGGAGGAGAAGGAGAGGAAGAAAGCGATGGAAGTAAATAGTGGAAAAGACAAAGTGTTTCTTTTAATTCTCGAAATCTTGGACCATTTTCAAAGTCTCCTCAAAATTCTGCTCTTTGGAGCATGAGATGATGCAAAAATTTTGTTTGTGAAGAAAACTGCTGGAATTTGAAAAAAGTGTAAGGGATGCAGTAACTCTTAGTTTCTGGAACTTAGATTAGTTAACTTAAATTTGCCAGAAATAGCTGGCAAATCGATGAAATGGAGGTAATATCCGACAATACGTATAAGTTTTAGAGAAGCAACCGTCGATATCACTGATAATATGAGCAGTAGCAGGTGAATGACGCATTCCCAACTGTGAATTCCAGTTTTCAAGAAGATCCTACACCAGGTCGAACTTTTGGCGCCAAAGCAGGGCTTCTGGAAGTTGTAGCAGAAGTTCCAAGTCTAAGTGCTGCAAAAACGGCCATAAGAATTGGCATCACCTCCAGATCACTAAAGAAGCTAGGTGCAAAAAGGAAAAATCATGGTGTTTGGAGTATGAGCATGCCAGACTTGAACAATGTTGCAACAAAACGACGCCAGACTGTACGTGCCAAAAAGCTACTAAAGGAAGAATATGTGGGTTTTGTCGGGGGCATCTCTAGCACTGGAATTTTGCACTTAACACTATTCCATCCAGCCGTCATTTGTTAAATACTTCTTCTCAGAGTCAAAAAAATTTTGCAACAGTTGTATTTAAACTTTGGTCCAAAACTGACAATAAATATTAACTAGCAACTTTAAACACGTAACAGATTGGAAGCTGTTGTTAACGTCCATAAAAGTCTCAAATATGATGTCGCAGAGTAATTAGGATTTTTGAGACACACTGATAGCAGTGGATAAAACTTGTGATGTTTTGACACCATAACCGCTCCCAATTGCTACCGAGTAGAACGTAATTCTACTTCCCTTTCCTTCCTTTTAACTCATTTAAATTGTTTTGACTACTTGCGGAAACCCTACACATATTATTTGGCACAAAAATGGCTTTTACCGGTTTTTTCATACAATACTCGTCAGTAGGTGAATTAAGAGGGAGAAAAGACAAAAGCTAGATTATTTCACACTTAGAGAATTTCTTTAGGAATGACAAGGATAGTAGTTTTACATACAGCTGTAAACAGTTGAAAAATTAATATGCATTTTACTTTCTATTTTTGTGGAAGTACACTGTAGAAATATTACTGTTAGTTTTTGAGTATTTAGCATTTTAACAAGCATTTATTTAAAGTACTTTGAGTCTAGAACGAAGTCACTAAAAAGAGCGTTATTTAAGATGAATAACTGCCGAGAAGATAGCACTGTATAGAAGGCGGTATGGCTAAGCGAAAACTAGCAATGTTGAAGAAGAAAATTACTAAGCCGTTTTTTTACTTTTCAGGACGAAAAATGTGCTGCTGCTATAAAAACTGTAGAACTCGATGATGCCTTAGGAGGCTTTCCTGTTCAATATCGAGAAGTAAACAGATTATATTTGTTTGTCAAAATACTTAATTGAAATTGTTACCATTTTTAATCATTTTTCGAAAAACTTCACTTGTATTTCAAAAGCAATTTTAAGGTTCAAAACCACGAATCGTCGGTATTTTTGACGTATTTCAAGGAAGGAATCAAGTACATTTTTGCTTTTGATATTTGCTTTCAAAAATTTTTTTGAAGGACCTATTGAATTTTTATACATGCGTATGATGTTAGTAGAGATTGTGACATTAATGAAGGTATTTGGCTGGTGGGATAGAATCAGCTTTACGGCATGTTGGTGATGTATATGAGTCATCTTGGAAGAATCGCCTTTTTCAGTGTAAAGGAAAGCGTACTGTGCGGTGCACACAGGTGGTGGAACTTTCTGCTAAAATTAGAGTTATAGCAGTTTTACCTTCTAAAATCATTTTTATTTTTTTGAAATTTTCTTATTTTCTTTGAGATTTACTTTCGTATTTATCTTATTTTTTTCTGTATTTTATTTTATTTCACTTTTGGTAAGCAATTTCTGTAACACCACAATATTCTAGATTAATAATAACAAATAAAAAACTTTAATTGTTCACTTCTTTCTTCACTTTGGCAATGTATTTTAAGAGATCCTGCGTAGCATAACAATTTTAGATACCATTTGAAGCGCAAAACCTTAACCTTGGCGATGTTTTTATCGCTGATTGCGGCAAAAAAATTTTCGTGTGGATGCCGCCTGAAAGTAACCGTTTAGAACGGATTCGTGTAAATTAATTTCATTTTTGAATTGTGGTGACTTTTTACTGAATTGCATTTTTTGACTTTGTTAAAATTTTTTTTGTCATATTTATGCTATTGCGAATTTTTCACTTTTCTGTAACTAATCTTCTAAACAAAAGAAATACCTGTACCACAAAGGTAAAAGCATAGTATTCTTAGGTAGTGATATTACAGACTCTTACTACTGAAGTACACTTTAGGGAACAGAACAAGCGAAAAGCATACGAGACCGTGAGAGAGCTGGGAAACCAGAAATTGAAATATTAGGTAATGAAGTGATTTCAGTTCTAGAAGAAAAAGAATATTGCTTTTTACATTTATTTAGCAGCAATTTTTTAGATCAGGACTGGAACACAAATGACGAGTTTTGGGACGTCATGGGTGGAAAAGACACAATCAAGAATTTAAGTTTAGCTAAATCTTTCAACAACGACAGCAGTTACTGGCTGACTTCGGAACAACAGCTTAGTTTGTGGAGGTGATAAAATTTTTTGGATAATATTCATTTCGCTAATAAAGTAAATTAGATTTCAGAAGCAGTTGATTTTAAACGTGCTGATAGCCGAAGCTAGAATGTAAATTTTTTTTGCTGAACACTTTGACTAAAACCGGATTTTATTCCTTACTTATTTTTACGTTGTTTCATACAGGTGGTATAACCGTAAGAAAAATAGTAAGTTTTTTAGAGTATGTGACGAAAATGGCGACAATATCACTAAAGTAGCTGAAGGAGAGTTTAAAAAAGAGTTTCTAGATAGTAAGGTGAGATAAAATCCTTTGATGTGTTTTCTTAATCACGCTTGCTAGCTGATTTAGGACATGATTTCCGATTTAAGGATGCATTTATCCTAGACGCAGTTAATGGTGGTGTTTTCGTATGGGTAGGTAAAAAATGCACAATGAACGAAAGACGGAAGGCTGTACAGTGGGCAGAAAAGTACATTACAGATCAGGTGCTGCTGAATGTTTGATTTGGACTTGTAACAATATCTAAAGCCAATTTTTTAGTTTATCGAATTTGATGCTTTATATTATATCTTGGCAATTCAGAACCGGCCATCTTGGACGCAGGTGGTAAGGGTATTAGACGGTGCTGAGCCAGAAATATTTACTCAGTGGTCATCATCCTGGACAGTATCGTCATCAGAAGGCGGTAAGACCAAAAAGCGAAGTCGCAAGCCCAAATTGTTCAACTGCAGTGATGAGAAGGGGGATTTGGTGATAGAAGAAATTGCAAACTTTGGATATGAGGTACTTTTTTTGTGCGTCGCTTCACTTGATTTATTTGGAGAGCAGTTATTTTGCTCTTTAAAAGTGCTCTTCATTATTTTTATCAACTAAGAGTTTAAATAATTAAGGACTTAGACACTGATGACGTTATGATTTTGGACACTTTAAAAGATATTTTTGTTTGGATTGGAAAAGGCGCAAACGTGAACGAAGTTAGAGGTGCCATGAGCACGGCTCAGGCTAGTTTCTTCACTATTTACTTTTGTCACGAAACTGTAGCCTATAATCGCTACTAGCCAATTTTTTAGAAATATTTAAAAGGAAACCTGATACCGCGACCGAGTAACGCAAAGGTTACAATTATTTTGGAGGGCGAAGAAAGCGACGAATTTAAGGAAAACTTTAAAAATTGAAAGAATTGTTTAATTTGAGATTGAGCAAGAGGAGTGGAGATGTCAGATTGATGAGCAAAGCGTAAACAGGAAACTTGCACTTTGTTTCTGGGCTTATTATCAAAACTTGTTTTTGTTCCTTAATTTGTCTTTCTTTGCCTTTTTTTCTTGAAATATTTTGCTACAAGACAATAACTGGTAAGTTCATTGTTGATTCTTATTGCTCAAGCTGTTGATGAAATGTTGCCGTTGCTTTGCATTTTACAGGGTCATATAATCTACATTTTACTTTTAAAGTAGACATACATAAATTACTGAAAGTTTATTTGCTTTTCGACAAAATTCTGGTTCAATTTTTAGTAATGCAGTTGTAGATTTTTTTAATGAAGGATATATGCGTTACTGTAGAAATTTGATTAAACTTCATTGCTGCTGGTAGATTTTACATAACGCATATTGATTCGCTTATACGTTAATGGGTCACTACGTTTTCCAGTTCAGTTTACCCAAGTTCCTTGTCTGCACACACAGCGTATTTGTAATGCTGGTGTTAGTTATTAATATTGGTGTTAATTTTTTTATAAGGATATCTCAATGATTGCTCAAACTCCTGACCTTATGAAACCAACGGATATGTTTCAACGGAGGGATAGACGAGACCTTTCCGCTGCAGCAGCTATTCAGATGCTAAATGTTGTAAAATTTTTATCCATGCTTTTCATGAAGAGGCTTTGATAAACTTTTTTAACAAAAAATTTGTGGAATTTTTGGATTATAGACTATTATAGACGGCTTCTTGGACACGGAGGGGAACATGAAGGGAAACAAAAAAGAACTGTTTCGTTTTGCTTGCGTACTATTATAGACATTTAAGTCTATGGCAGCTTTTTAAGTCTTGGTATGTATTTGATGAGAAATTTCAGATTATTCAGGTAAGATTAAGGTTTGAAGAATGGTGGAAACTTGCTCAAATGCAGGCTGAACAAGACTTTAAAATAAAAAACCAATTTTGATACGGTTAAACACTGCTGTATTATATTTGGTAGAGCTTCTATGGTAGTGAAAACAGAATTCCTCAGAAGCAAGAGGGAATAAGTGTAAGTACTTTATCTAATAACTCTAGGAAAAACTAGGGAACAAAATAAGAGGTACCTGTAATTACAACAACGTTTTAAAAATCACTAAAAAAAGTTGTGAGTGAAGGTAATTTGCAGAGAGAGGGGGAAAGAAAAAACAGGAAAGTTTAACACCATAATAAAAAGTGCGGGTAAAATCTTATTGCAGTTGCATGTTTATTACCTGTGTTAGTCGACTTACGTCTTCCGAATTCCTTTAGAAAATGCTGTCAAGAATGTGACTGGATAACGGAATACCTTCTTTCACGGTTAAATTATTCAGCAACACTTGATGCAGAGCCACAAAAAGTTTAGCAATAGTTTAACCAATTATCTTCTTCTGTTTTTTGAATAAATGAGTAAATAGGTCAGCAAAGTTGTTTACTCTAAAAAATTATACGACTTGAATTAATAAATATTGTTTTCACACGAAAGAAAAGACTTAGTTGTTACTTTAGCTATTAATTTGTCGGTGAAACAAGCCTTGGTTTTGGCGTTTTTTATGTATCCGACTGATTACTAAAAAATTTGGCG